GGCCGGTTGCAGCAGGATTCACACTGCGTCGCCCTGCGGTTCTGTCACGAACTGAGCAGCAAACGTGGCTGGGGCGCGGTGTGCTTTTAGGAAAGAAAACATTTAAGAAAAAGTTGCCCGGCCTGTGGGAGCGAGCCTTAAAGCAGGAGGGTTTGTTCGGAGGGAGGTGAGGAGATCTGACCTGGGAAAGCGCTTTTTGTGCTGAAAACGCCAGCGGAAACCAGTTCTTCCAGCTGTTGGGTGCTTTGCCGCTCGGTGAGGACGGGTGGAGCATGCGGAACCTTTCTCCCCAGTCTCACAAAAAGTATTTGGGGAGAAGTGAGGTGGGTCTTACCGGATCGGTGCTGGGCATCGAGTGTGAGCGCTGTGTAGTTTTGCTGTTCTTTGGCTCCGCTTGCGGGCTGAAGAGTGTTTCATTGGAATTACTTCCTAAGCCTCGTGAAGCCCAGACTGTCTGGTAAGGGGGTTGGATAAAACCAGAGTCTCTGTCCGTGACAGCCGGTGTTCAAACCCTGCCGGGCCGAGGCTGTGAGCATTTCTTGCGGCACTCCTCACCTTAGGGAGCCGAGTTCAGTGCACAGTGCGGAAATCTGTAGGCGTGCGCAGGCTGAACGACGGGCGCTGCCTCTTAAAGCAGTGAGAACCCACAAGACCTGACAACGTCCCCGCTGAGGTGTTTCTCTCTTGCTCGGCTCTTTATTATCTGACCTCCTCTCAACTCCTTGACTTGCAGGAAGAAGAGCAGAAGCCGGTAGAGCCGCCTGTCAAAGTAGAAGAGCCTCCCGTAAAATCGCCTGACGTGTAACTATCCTTTCCGAGTAGAACAAAGCAAACCCGGGGGGTGCGAGGGCCGGCGCGGGTCAGCTGCCTATACAGCCCCGTTTTGGAGTTTGGGCTGGAAGGAGGCTGCAGCACATGTCGGAGCAGGATTGTGGCCCTTGCCTCAGCCCGGTGTGATAATGCAGTGGTCGGTCGATCGGTCTGTCTGTCTGCGTGGCCGCTCTCCCCTCCGTGGCTCGAAGGACGAGGCGAGCCCTGAGCGAGCCCCGGGCTTGTGGGCAGGAGGGGGCGTCCTGCACCCGCCGAGCTGCGCCGGCAGCGCCGGCCAGCACCAGGTCCCAGGCAGAATTGCTTCCTGTGAAAGTGCCATTAAACCATTACTACCTTTCAGGGCATAAAATGAGAAACCTGTCCGGGAATCTGGAACAAAAGCAGTGCATTTTTCTAAATGGGAGACCTTAATGAGGCTGGCTGTGACCCACTGTTTTATGGGAGTTGTTTGGAGGAGGAGGATGCTATTTCATTTAGCCTGGGAACTTCCGAACTTTGTCTCTTCCTCTTTTGTTTTCCCCCCTCGAGCCTGAGCTCTGTTTTTGGAGCATAAACTTTGGAGCACGCCCACTCCATTATATTTTCGTTCAGTCTTTTTACCGGTCCCGCTGTTGTCAGCTGCGCATTGTTCAGGAAGTGTGTGTTTGAAATGGAGCCTGGGCTCGGGGTGCTGGTGCTGACCGGGGGAAAGTTGCCTGTGGCTGTCCCATGAACTAGAACAGAACAATCCTTTGTATTTGAGGGCCATAAAGGAATAAAGCTCTTTGGGGCTTGCAGTCGAGGCTTTGGGCTTCTAACAAGAGCTGAATGTTACTGTTAAGAGCCTTAAGGTGGGCGGGGGGGTGTAGGTCTGCGGCCTCTTGCTGTAATACCCACCCGGCATTTTGAGATGCATCTGCAGCGCCCCACTAAAATTGCAGAACATTTCTCTTGCCTTAAACGGAGTTAATTATTCCTCTGATCCCGTGTGGAGAACGGGCGAGAACGTGGCTGGTTCTTGTGTCTTTTCCAGCTTGCTTCCGATCGTTGCCAAAGGAATTTGGGAGTGCTGAAGGCACTAGTCAGGCTCGCAGGAGAACCCACGGCTGTGCCTTCACTGCATCGTGTGTTTCCTGCCCCTAGTACACCCTAGACTTCGGTTATAAGTTTCACAAGCTTCATACTTCACCTTAGCATGAGTACCTGGCTCTAAACTTCCCGAGGGGGGTGCTAGCTTGTGGCTGCTCTCGTTTGAAAAGCAGCCCCTCAGTTCAGGTGGTGGTGGTGCTCCCAGGGATGGGCGGCTGGGAGGAGACCCCCGACACCTCTCCCGCCGGGGCGCCCCTGTGAAAGCCGTGAGAGCCGTTCTGACCGATTTCTCTCTTTCCCAACACCTCTAGGATTACGGAAAAGAAGGTAGTGAAAATAACATCAGAAATATCACAGATGGAGGTAAGGTTCCTTCTGCCTCTGCATCCTCCGAGGTGTCGGTTCCCTTATTCCTTCGTGCAGAGTCTCTTTTGTGTGTGGCTGGGGCTGTGTCAGTGTTTCCATTGTAAACCTGCTTTATTTTGCCTTGATTTTATATTAATGACGGGTCGCTGGCTGCGGGCTGACCTGGCAGGGATGGTGACCCCGTGGCACGTTTCATTTTGACGCTAGATCTCGGGGCCCGTTCCTCTCAGTTCTCCATTAACGCCTCTTGCCCCGCTGCGGTGCTTTCCGCCACCAACCACCGTTGGCCCTACCTCAATATTTCCAACTTAGCCGCGACGAGCTGCGCCGTTCCTGGCGCGTCGCTCCCTCGCAGACAAAGATGGACTTTGCCCCGTAGCATCCTCTGCTCTGGATGATAAAGGCTGATAGACTTGAACCGTCTCTGTGATGACTCTGGTGTATAAATTCGTGTTTCCTGCTATTGCGAACATGAAAAGTTCCGCTGCGGAGTTCACCAGGCCGTGGCACATCCCCGTCCCTCGGGACTTGCTGCGAGCCCCGTTGCTTCAGACACGTAAAACTACAAAGCGTTGTTGAGGCTGCGCTTCAGGGAGTAATCAGTTGGGGAGGGACTGATACGAGCTAACAGATCATCTCGTCTTTATCTTCTCTGACTTTGTCACTTACATTTGCTGGGCTTATTTAAAACAAACACGCTTAGAAGCTGCCGATTCCTCTGGGAAAACTTTGCGAAACTTTTGAGTTTCAGGAATCTGATTGTGGTTCTCTAATCCCCCCCCTTATTTTTTTGCTCGTGTTCCGTAAGAAAGAAATCACTATGAAAACATGATTCTTGTCTCCCTGCTGTTCACCACTACTTTAGAGTTTTAATCTTCTGTTTGGGACACGATCATTTCCACAGCAACCAGGGTGATGTCGCAAGTGGAGGATTATGACCTCAGTGAGGGAGTAATGAGGAGAAACACGGTACCTGATGAGAGCTGGAAGCGTTGTTGAAGGAGCCATGTCCCCTGCGAGGTGGGGCTGCCCTTGGCTGTAGCTGGTTAAAGAGCTCATTAAGCGAAATTGCTGAAGTTACGCTCTTGCCCTTTGTTTTTCTCCAAATTCTGCCAAATCTGTTTGCAGGAAAACCACTTTTTTTTTTTTTTTAAAAAAAAACCAGCCCAGGTTGCTCCAAGCCCCGTCCAACCTGGCCTTGAACACCTCCAGGGATGGGGCAGCCACAGCTTCTCGGGGCAACCTGCCCCAGGGGATCATCGCCCTCACAGCAAAGAATTTCTTCCTCCTATCTCATCTCAATCTCCCCTCTGTCAGTGTCAAACCGTTCCCCCCCATCCCGTGGCTCCCCTCCCTGATCCAGAGTCCCCCCCCAGCTCTCCTGGAGCCCCTTTAGGCACTGGAAGAGGCTCTGAGCTCTCCCCTTTTTGGCCTTCTCTTCTCCAGGCTGAACCCCCCCACCTCTCCCAGCCTGTCCTCCCAGCAGAGGGGCTCCAGCCCTCCCAGCATCTCCGGGGCTTCCTCTGGCCCCGCTCCACCAGGTCCATCTCTCTCCTGTGCTGAGGCCCTCGAGCTGGAGGCAGCGCTGCAGGGGGTCTCCCCAGAGCCCGTTTGATTGAGTGTGAATCGTGTCTCAGCAAAACCGTGTCGTAGATGTTTTTTGAAGATAAAAGGGAATTATTTCCCATACGATGCATAATTGAACGCTGGAGGCTGTCAGTGTGGGCTGTTACGGATGCTAGAAGTACAGATGAGCTCAAAAAGAGAGGAGACGAATTCCTAGGAAGGGCGACCGTCGGGGATAAACGAATGCAAACGTGAGCGCAGCCTGAAATCCAGCCCGTGGTGTGCTGTGGGGCTGGGAGGGCGCAAAGGAGGCAGAGCACCCCTCTGACTGCGGCAGTCGCCGGCGGGGCCGTGGGGCAGCGGGGCTTTTGCGCTGATCCGGCGTGGGCTGTCCGTAGCCGAGAGTCCTTTCAGAAGCTGCCCCTTCAGGTGGATCTTCTGGATGTTCATCAGAGTGTCAGACAGAATAAGGAGATGTGCTTTGACCTGAGGGATACGGTTTTCTGCCTTTATTGTTTCTACTGAGCTGAGTAAAAGCTCCTCAGTGCCGACACCGTTAGGAGTGCTATTCCCAATCCATCTTTTCTAAACATTTATGTTTTGATGCAAATGTTTATTACGCTCCTCACTGTGCTTTTGGCTAAAGTAAATGTTTCCATTAAAATAATGTCTGTTTCTCTAACCTTTAAAACACCAAACACATTTTTGTGCCCTTGTGTAATAATAAAATGTTAAATATTTCCCTTAAGCTTTTAAGGGGATTTAATACTCGGAGGTGCAAACCCTTGCGCTTCCGATTTTTCCAGGCTTTTCCCTGCCCGGGGCAACGTGCTCTGCGGTCCTTTCTGCGTAGCTGAATTTCGTCTTGAATTGCACCGCTAATGGCAAACTCTGCTCGCGAGGCTGAGCCAACGGCCTGAATAGCGTCGGTCTCTCGTGAAAAGACTTGTGCCAAATAAATAAGTTCCCTGAAAACAAACAGCTCCCCCCGCCCCGCCGCCCCCATCCCCTTTTCTAGAATATTTCTTTGGCCTTTTGCTTAGGGGGGAAGAAAAGGAAATCTTGTTTGCCTCTCTTCTTGCAAATCAGCCGAAGCCGGTTGTGCCTACTGCTTGCTTCCTGCCTCCGGGAGGGAAGTCGGGGCCGTTCCCTTTGTAGTCCCTGCCAGGAGCGCTGCTCCTTTCCCTCCGGCACAAGGGCTTCCCCGGGCGAGGTGTGCGGCACTCCGGCTTGGGCGCTGGCATGCCACCCCCCAGCGCAGTTGCAGCCTTGTACCGTCTTCTAACACTCTCTGTCACCTCCCCGCCCCCGTGCTCTTTTGGCATTTCTCCTTTCCTCGGAGCGCTCCCTGAGCAGCGCGGCAATGGCATACCTTTTTTTTTTATTAGGTTTTTTACAAGGCCCGTGTTTCTCAGAACCGTGGCAGAGCCTTTTGGTCAAGCGTACGTCCCGGGGGCTGTGGGATGGCTTCTCGGACGGCCCGAGCCAAAGGAAGGTGCCTGCAGCATCTCTCCCTTCGCCTGCGGGGGCAGAGGGATGGTTTTCCCCTTCCCAGACTGTGCTGCCGCTCTAGCAGGGCACGTAGGAGCGTTAGCCCACCACGTGTTGAGCTTGTGTGCCTCTCTCCACCCGCAGAACCTCCTCTCTGTACCCTTCAAATCTTCGCTCTTCCTCAGCCGGTTCCTTTCTCTCCCTCCAGCGAATGCAGAAGAGGGCCGAGCGCTTCAACGTGCCCGTGAGCCTGGAGAGCAAGAAGGCAGCGCGGGCGGCTCGGTGAGTCTGTGTGCAGCCTTCTCCTCCTCCTTGCCTGCGAGAAGACCTCTCCGGACGCGTCTGCCCGCCTTTTGGCGGGAGGTGAACGTGGCTCCGGGCTGTGCTGGGGTGGTGGGACAGCCGCGCTGGGCAGGAATTTGGGGGATGAGGTGGGGGTGGCCCCCAGCCAGAGCAAACGGTGGACAGGGTCACACCTGCAGGGTGGTGGTGCTCCTCGTGAGGCCGGAGAGCCCCCAAATGGGTCAAATTTGGGCCGTGCCTGATTGTGGGGTGCTCAACGCATACCGTACTGGTTGCTTGGGCGAAAATAGCGGTGAGATTCCTGGCAGCTCTCACGGTTACTCTGGAAGGAGAGGGACGAGCGGTGGACTGCTGGTGCCGCGGTTAACCTCCTGCGCTGCGAGGGTGGCTTCACGCAGCGGGGCATCGCCGCGCGCAGAGCAAGCGCAGGAGCCGCTGCAGTAATTACATGAGCCAATAATAGCGCGTTCCAGTTAATCTTGCCCTCAAACCAGTTTGACTCAAGTACACTCGTGAAAAGTATTTGAAGGAAAAGTTCGCACCTAAGACTTGACGCGTCAGGTACTGGCTGACCTCATCTCTGCCCGAGTCCCTGACTAAGCTCTGTTTACCTTCGGCAGGTTTGGTTTGGCCACAGTTTCGACTAAAGGTGAGGAGGTGAAGCAGAACCAATCCAGGGACTGACCGTACTGCAAATATTTAATTATTCCTGGGGGGGTGTGTGTGTGTGTGGAAAATCGCTGGTGGGACTCCCTTTGTTTTCAGCTCTGTCCCTTTGCCTGACCACACCTGGGAGCTCCGAGCGGGAATTGTAGAATCGGGAAGAAAAGGACGCGTGTTGTTCCCTTGGTAGTTCAGACGCTTTTCCCAGCGTCTCTTCCTTCCCAGCGCAACGGGAAGGCGCTAGCCAGATTTGCCTGCGGTACCCTGACCAGAGCGCCTGACACCCTTTGGCTTCATAAAATGTGGGGTTCAGTTGCCAAAGCTGTCCCGGCGAGGTGGGACGGCAGCAGGTTTGCGGGTGGAGAAGCTGATTTAAAGGTGGAAAAGAAACTGGGAGACTCATTCTGTAGCAAGCGGAGATGTAAGCTGGGGAAGAGGGGAGAGCAGTTCTCCACTGGTCTATGGTGGGACGGGTGCGGGGCTGCGGCTTTACAGCACCTCCTTCATAAGGTGCTGCTCCCCGTGTTTGATCTCTAACTGGCTTTTCTTTTTCTTGCCTCCTCGTTTCAGGCCTCTCTGCAGACAGCAAACCCACGGTAAGAAATGCTTCTTGTTCTTGAGTTGCTGCTGGTCAGGCCCTGTAATGTGTAGAAGGAGGTTCCTGTCTGCGGGGACAAACCACCCGAACGGGTGGGAACGACGTGCGTGGCGTGGGTTGGTGACGGAGCCCGCCGGGGTGTCGCGCCTGCGCTGCCCTGGGCGCGTTCCCGTCCCTTTGCAGCGTTCGGCTGCTTTGGTGACAGTGTTCTCGGATGAGCTGATTTTAGAATCAGACGCTGAAAAGAACAAAGATGGATATTTGGGGGGTTTTTTTTTGACTTTCGTTCTTTTGGTTTGTTTGAATATAATTCGGTGCTTCAGGAATGGAAATGACGAATGACCTGTAGTAAATCACTCTGCTTTTAATGGCCCATCTGACTTCCAGGTCTAAGTAGGAGGCACCGAAGTGTGCAGGGCTGAGACTGCCGCGCTGAGCCGCCGGCTCCGCGTCTCGGTGTTTGCGTGCTGCATCGAGGGTGAGCGGAACAGAGCGACGCCGAGGTCTGTCACCGGGCAAGGCTCTGGCTTCCTCTGGTGCCAGCGGCGTAAAAGATCTTGCGTGAACATCTGCCAGGCAGAACAGCACCGGGGTTTCCCCTGCAGAACTAGGAGCTGTGGAAGGCTTGTCCCCGAAGCCTGTGTTGGTTAGGGATAGGTGCCGTAACGGTGGCTGACGCCTCTCCGGGAACCCAGGCAGGCTGGGGGACGTGTTGGGAAGCTGCTCGGTCCGGGGACCTGCTTAGATGTGACCCAGCAGTTTTGGCAGGGTGAGGGTGCAGCAATGGCTTCGTAAACCGGTGGCGGCCAAGACAGCAGTGATAATTTGGGGGAGTACTGGCAAGTTTGCCTACAGAGATGTTTAATTTCTGTTTGTGTTGACCAGACGGCAGCAGGAAAGGTACCCGGTACAGGTGGCTCACAGCAACAGCCTGAAACAGCTGCTCTTTTAGGAGGGGACCAGCACCGGGTGTTTCTCCTTCGGGTGGTTTGAGGAAGCGAAAGGGGCGGACTGGCAGTTTCTGGCTGTGTCGTTTGGGACACCGGTTCCGGCTCGCGGCCCTCGGTGCTGGCAGGAGCTGCTGCTGCGGCTTCCCCAGGGCTGGTGGCAGCGCACAGATCTGTTCCCGGAGGCGGCCACATCTCTGTCCCTTTAACCTGAGTGACGACGTTTAGGGTTTTTTTAAAATACAAATTGTTTTCCTATGTTTTTGTAGGTAAACATGGATAAATTAAAGGAAAGGGCTCAAAGATTTGGGCTGAACGTCTCCTCGCTCTCCAAGAAGGTAAGGTGCCTTGGCCTCCAGGACACTCTGCCCCTCCGGATTAGCCCGGTGCTCCAGCTCGGAGCGTGCCGTGGCCGTTCAAAGCCTTCGTGCTGCTTGAGGTTTTACATCTTGTTATTAGCGCAGCGGCATGGGCCCCGGACCCCGGGGGAGTCTTGTCAACACTGCTTCCTTCATCTTTCCTTCTGTTTGTTTTTGTGTGTGTGACTCTTGATATGGTTTTGAGAGACTTACCGCCGCTGAACGGAGGTGTTGAATTTTAAGGTTGCTCCTCCAGATTTTAACATGGGGAGAGACACCGTGTAGCGGGCTGTGTAATCCCTCTGTTTCCAGGCGTTTGACTCGCGCTGTGTAAGCGCACGTTTCTGATTGGGGCAGGAGCCAAGTCTGTAAAGACCAAGGTAATGAGCTCTCTGAAGAGACGGCGTCCAGAGCTCCCTGGTAGGAAATAACTCTTTGAAGTACAAATGAGATGAGCTTCGTTAGGGGGATGGATTTGGTCTTAAAACTATTTATTTTTCCAGGGGAGAGAGATACACAAGGTTCTGAGCGTATCCCCTCTTCTGGTCCTCGTGCGTGGCAACGGACTGAGCTCAGCCTTCGCTGGAGCTGGCGGTGGGGCAGGAGACGGAGCCGCGCTCTGGCTCCTCCTGGGAGCGGGGGCTGTGCTGGGGGGGCCACGGGGTGTGCTCGGAGGTAACTCCTCCAGATTTTAACATGGGGAGAGACACCGTGTAGCGGGCTGTGTAATCCCTCTGTTTCCAGGCGTTTGACTCGCGCTGTGTAAGCGCACGTTTCTGATTGGGGCAGGAGCCAAGTCTGTAAAGACCAAGGTAATGAGCTCTCTGAAGAGACGGCGTCCAGAGCTCCCTGGTAGGAAATAACTCTTTGAAGTACAAATGAGATGAGCTTCGTTAGGGGGATGGATTTGGTCTTAAAACTATTTATTTTTCCAGGGGAGAGAGATACACAAGGTTCTGAGCGTATCCCCTCTTCTGGTCCTCGTGCGTGGCAACGGACTGAGCTCAGCCTTCGCTGGAGCTGGCGGTGGGGCAGGAGACGGAGCCGCGCTCTGGCTCCTCCTGGGAGCGGGGGCTGTGCTGGGGGGGCCACGGGGTGTGCTCGGAGGTAAACGTGTGCCGGAGAACGGTGTGCTTAGCGGTGCGATAACCCCTCGCCTAAATGTGTTCTGTAGCAAACGGGGGAGAAGATGAATTTAGCATGTTTGGGGGGGAAAACAGAAGAAAGGATAAATATATACTCTGAGATTACTACAACATCCTGTGCGCGTCCCAAACGAAAATAGCCTTTTCCTCTTCTGGGCTGTAATGAACCTCGTGCTGCAGCGCTGCTCAGAAATAGCGGGGAGTGAAAAAGAATTGTCCAGCTCTAACAGCTGGGTGATGTTGGCATGGAGACCTCTCCTCTCCATGCGGAAAAGGGTAAGAGCCGGGGGAGGTTCATCTTCTCTCCATCCCTGTGAAATAAGCCCCTCTCCTCCTCGGGGGGATGGATTTGACCTTTTTTGCTGCCTGTTTCTCCACGTACGAGTGTTCTGCTTTATTCCACTGGCCCTGGGAATTCACTGATGTAGAAAATATCTGGCATTGGAGGTCGCTGTTCCCCCCCCTTCCCTCCCCTGTCCCTTTGGGGGTGGGGGAAGGAGGCCAGTGCATTAAAGCTGGGATATGTGGAGCTCAGGGTGAGAGGCTGCTCAAACATCATTAACCCTGTCACTAGGAGCTCCCATTTTTCAGGAGGAATATATGCCTTGTCAATGTTTATGGCCGTGGCCTTCCCTGGGTAGGATCGTGTGGCTGCAGCTTAATCGAACCGGGGCTTATGGAAGGAACCGGCTTCCCGGGCTGCGCCGTGGCCCCCGTGCGTGGCAAAAAACCCCGAACCCGCCGAAATGCGAGGGCTGAGCTCCCCGAGCCGTTCGCCGGCAGACGCAGCTCGCCGGCGGGGGGGCCGCCCCCAGCCTCCGCTTTGCCCGACGCTGGGCTTTGTGTCCCCTGCGTGCTCCGGCCGTGCGCGCGCGCGGAGCGGTGTCCGGCGGCAGGGCTCGCCTGGCCGTGTCTCCTTTTTGTTTGCTCCACCGGGAAGCCGAGTTCATGGGCTTAGAAGTGGCTTCTCCCACTGAGCGGAACGCACTCTTGCATTCCTGGGAGGAATATTATTGGTTACTTTAATTAGCTGGTAGTATTGTGCTTCCCACCTGGGTGTTCTTTATAGCTTTTCATTACGGAGGAGCCTGGCAGTTGCGAATGTTTACGTGTGTCTTGGCAGGTTTTTATACCGTGCGTCGCAGCAAAAACTTTACAATAAACCATTGTCTCCGCGGAGCCACACTTCATTTCCTATTCAAATTGGTTTGGGGAGGGGTAGGGATGTAGGGGGGGAAGAATCGTAGCTGAGGGGGATTTCAGACCTGCTGTGAGCAGGGAGCAAATGCAGAGCTGCGTTAGTGGCTGTGAACTCATCTGTAGCTTTGAACCCCCCTTCCCCCCCGCCCCGTAGCCCTCTGGGGTAGAAATCTTTCAAGTTTAAAATCCTCTTCCTCTCTGCCCGAAGGGGAAGCGAGACCCCGGTCGCCGGGAGGAGAGGGGCGAACCGAAAGGTTGGCGGTGCCGGAGCAGAAGAGGCAGGTGCTCATTTCTCTCGAGGCGGCACGGGGCCATCAAATTAATTTTTAAAATAAATCAAGCAAGCGTTTATCTCCCTGTAGCACCGACTCTCCCCTCCGAGGCCTCCTGTTAAAGCACACGCTCGCTGACCTAAAGCTACCATCCCTTGACTCCTGTTAGTTGTACTTAACCCCCCACACTTGTAAATGTTCCCTCTCTATAGCAGCTGCTCCCTGTAACACTCCAACTCTCCGCTCCCCAGGGGAGGGTGTTTAGCTGCGTGTTTTATATGCAGGGTTTGATGCCGCAGAGGGAGCTGCCTGCGCCGTGGCTGTGATTCAGAAGCATTTCTCCGAGGGGGTGGTTTGCTCTTTATGTATAAAACAGCCTTGTAAGTCTCCTGCTGAGAAAGTGTTGGCACCAAATGGACAGCAAGAGCCCTTGGGACAGCATAAAAGCTCTGTTTGCCACCTTTGTATTACATTATCAAATACCTTTCCCCATCCGAACAGATGACTAAAATAATTGGCTTTTTTATCTCCTCTGTAACGTGGAGGTCTCAAACTGCCTTACGAACAATTAGCTGATTAACCCTCAGCTGTTCGGAGGTTGGGAGCAGAGAGGTGAAGCGACTCTGCTCCGAGGTCGCTCCGAGTCAGGGGTCCCCACCCGGAGCCCTCTTCTCCCCAGCGCCTTTCCCTCCGCTGGGGCTGAAACAAAGGATTTTTGCCGCAAACCTCCGTACGCGTGCCTAGCGTTCCCGTCCCTCCTCACGGGGCACTCGTCCCGTCACCACCTCGGTGATTTCTCGGGGCGGGGGGCAGTTTCTGTGTCTCTTGAGAGATGGAACGACCCGGCTGTAGCGAGGCCGAGTGGGAAGTACAGCTCCCGAGCCGCGTGTCACCTTGAATAACTTCATTTTTCTTTGCCTGGTTGCAAGTCTCCCATTTTCCAGCTGCAGCGTGGTCACCGTAAGACACGTCGAGAGCCCTGCGGGCGTCCCAGGTTGGATCCTGAGCAGCGGTAGCGGCACAGTATCCCCTTGATCAAAAGGTGCTGACTCTCCCGGACAGGAAGAGTTAATGTTTTAATGCGGCCGTCAGTCATGATTCTAGATTAACGCTGGTTTAATTCCGGTTAATGAGAGTGTGTTTTACGTGGAGCAGATAAGAGCTGCGCTCGCCTGAGATCAGCTGGCCGGCGCTGGCAGGCTGACTGCGTGACGTTCGTGTGCTGGTGGAGGAGAGCAGGGGTCAGTGGACCGGCAGAAAGTCTGTGTGTGTACAAAATAGCTAAATGAGAGAGAGAAAACAATTGACTTAATTGTTTGGCTTCCAGCAAGCTTATAATAACGTGCTGAGGAGGAATCCTTTTCCTGGGTAATTTTTCTGCCTGCAGTCTTTCCAACCACCCCCCGCCAGCCCCGGATGAGAAGCTATTAACCACCAAGGAAGCAAAGGGTGGTGGTGTAGGGGGGGAGACATGCTGCTGTTGGCAGGGAAAAGGGATTCGTGGACGAGGGTTGTTTCTAGCGAGCGCCAGGGACGGACGTGTCATGCATGGTGGCATGCGCCTGCGTTTTTGAGAAGCGCCATCGGCTTATGTGGCCGGTTGGTCGTCAAGAAATGCCTTTTGCCGTCACTTTGAAGAGACGGCTCCTGCATCGTTTGAAAGGGCGCGTGCCCCTGAATATTATTTTCTTTTCCAAACTTCACTTTTTCTGGCTGTCGTCAGCTTTGTGTCGATGTGTTGCTGTCCTCTCCGCTTCCCACCCAGTCTCCGCTGTGGCAGAGCGGAGGAGAGCCGTCTCCTCCAGGTTACAACCCAGCCGCTTCCTTCCGTGTGCTTCTCCTTGATTCCTCTTTCTCTCTCCCCTTCCTTTACCTTTCGGAGTGTGTTGTGATTAGAATATATAAAAGATGGCCCAGCAAATTGTCTTCACCGTGCTCTAAATTTGCAGTGGGGTTGTATTTTGTCCTGAGAAGTTGATGGTTCCTCCGCACGTTGTCTGCGCGTCCGTCCTCCTCAGGGCCGCTGCACGAGCTCTGCCCTTCGCGTGGGTTGATGGAGCGCTTGGCACTGCTTAAACCGGCCATGAAAAAGGAGGTTTTCCCCCTCGGAGCAGTGTCACGATGACACGGGGAACGGGCAGGGTAGTGTGCTGGATGCAGAGGAGTTGGTACGTTGTGACAGACGACGGGATGGATGAGAGTGCTTCGGTGGGCAGAGTCCCGGTGCCGCGCTCGGGGCTTCTTCCCCGTGCCCTGAAGTTCCCATCACATTGTGCTTTTAAATCTTAATATTTTTAGGTATTTAAAAAAGCTGCTTTCGGTAATTTTTACGGGATTTTCGGTCTCCCTCTGAGTTGGACTA